GCGATATTTTTAAATAAATAAAGTGCGTCGTGCAGCGAACGTATAAATTCCTGTTTACTGGATGCAAACGGTATCAAATAAATCCAGCAGTTTGATATGAATTAAAATTCGTTTTGTTTTTTAAATTGAACAAAATAGAAATTCTTGCACGCATAATTTTTTCTTTTTTTTATAATGACTATATTAAAGAATTTCTTTATCAAACTAACAAGTAAGCCCGTCCAATATCTTTGACGTCATTCAATAGCTATTTTGTAAAATGCAAATTTAATGACAATAAACAATGCCACGGTTAACCTTAAACTAATGTTTTTAGTTTGTCGCCATGTATTTAAAACGTCGCTTTATATTTTAAAAGAAATTTTAACCGTCTATTATGAAAAAAAATGTACAATTAATGGTAATTACATTTTAACTCAATTGGTATCATTAACCATGGTGCTTTATAAAACATCTTACAATGAAGAGAACTCGACTAAAACAGGGAACGCAAATTTTTCATCAACATCAAATAGCCATATATCTTACTTACCAACACCAGAAAATAATTTATTTGGTTACAAATATCTGCACTCTAATGAAGAGTTAAACTTGGATGTAACCCATAATGCGTTGTTTCCTCATCTTCCATTTTATCAGCCAGTTTCACCTATGCAAACATCAAACAGAAACACTGATTATAAAATTGAAAATAAAGGTACAGTTGCTCGGGTTTTTTAATTTTTTATAGATATGTACGTTACGTTGATTTTAACAAACATATAATAAATTCAAAAAAAGTATACTTATGTTCTTATACAAACTATTGACTCTTATTAAAATGTTTAAAAGAACCACTATGTAAAAAGCAGCATATACATTACTACAACAAGTATTTTTCATTATTTGTACATATATCTTATAAGATTTTAAAATAATTTTATTAGTTGTTTACTCATAATATTCATTTTAGTTTATAATATTTGATTACTCGTTAAAACATGTTTTTGTTGTTAGAGCAATTAATTTGTGTAAGCATCGTCGAATTACAGTAACTTTTTCGAAAAAATGTTATTTTTGTTTTATGAAAAAATTTTCAAAGTATTTAATTACAATTTGCGATTAATGTGTCATTATTGCAAGCAAATAGAGTCCCATTAAAAATGAGCAAAAAAGAAAATGTCAGTTTCTGAAATTATAATAAAATAAAAAATCATAAATATATGATAGATAAAGAATTTTTTTTTATTACTTTTTAAGGGTGAAACAGGGGCTTTAAAAAAGGGTCAACCCAATAAACTTTTCTTCAAAAATAAAAAAAAAGGCAAGGCTGCTCCTAAAGTTACTTTCTAAACCCACAAAAAAACATAAATTGCAATAACTTCAATACACATGCTCAAATAAGTAATGTAAGGCACTGAGTAAACATACTCCAATAACTATATGAGTAAACTTAGCCTCGATCTTTTCTACTTTAATGAAATGACTCTGTTTCCAATTTAACACTGGCATTTAAACTAACGTTTTTTTAATCAAATAAAAACTTCCCTACCAAGATCAACTGCTGAAGAATGTTAAGTTTCTTCATTACGACATGATGATTTATAAACTTTTGATCATGTTTATAAACTTTTTATAAATATTATGAAAACAATTCTCATTATAAAAATCTTTTCACCTAGACCTCCTAATGTAGAGCAGTTTGTCTTTGTTAGTACTATTTGTTTTTTATTATATAACTTTATTAATTACTACTTTTTGATCATTTTATGTATGTTTGTTATAAATGTATAAGGTAAATAAAAGTTTTAATGCGCTAAAATATTTTTTAGATAAAAATTGAGTCCTATCGATAAACTCTAATTTAATATACCATTAGTTATTTTTTTTAATCTTATTTAGTTTACATTAGATCCATGAGTAAAAAATTTTGCTTGTTTTTTGTTATCAACCTCAAGTGTGTTTTTTGTTATCAACCTCATTGAAGTTATAAAAATATAAAATTATTTTATAAAACATTAAAAACCAATACAAAAATATTTACATGTCTGATGTTTTAAAATGCCTGAAAGTATTCATGAAAGTTCTTATTCCGCGCTCTCTTATATATGATGAAATTCAAACAAACTAACAAAGTTTTATAACGTATGTTTTCATAAACCCATGTTCAGAACTATATTTATTTTTAATTATTATTAGTTTTTATTATATATCTCATACTTGATTCTAAGCGTTAAGTTTAATAAACTAATGACATTTTAAAAAGTTTTTGTTTTGTATAACTCATTAGAATTGCTTCATAGAATTAATTACTTTAACGTAGAGAAACATTTCTAATAAAACAACTTTTTATTAAATAGTTGTCAAATTGTCAAGACTAGTTCTCAGACATTTTCTTTAAATGTTAGACATTTTCTATGGTTTATTGGAAAAAATACATATGCGTTTAGTTTTTTAAACTGATCATTTAACATATGTTACAACTTCTAAAGTATCTACTATTTTGGTATATTTAACATACGTTACAACTTCTAAAGTATATACTATTTTGGTATATTTAAACATTTTTTATAAAAAGATTTATTAAAAACGGGCATCACATAACATCACATAACAAATTTTAATTAGTTTACACTTCAAATACGAACAATGTGACTTCTAATTTTCCATACGTACGAATATTTTTGTCTATAAATACAGCTCCAAATATAAATACAAGTAAACGTTGTAAAATTTTTTCCTCTCTACCATAACTTCATGGCATGAAACAAACTTAAAACTTGTTTATGTTTATACTGGCGTAAAATGAGGATTTTTTATAAATAAATACGGCACTTAAATATCGGGAACAAAAGCAATAATTAAAAAAATCACGGTAATTAAATAAAGATTGGAAAGAATAATTATAGATAATTCCGGTTTTATAAGTTGGGAACAAAAGCATTCTGAATTTTTTTTTTTTTATCTCGTGTGTTAGAATTAATATTTTTTAAAACTCATAAGCTTTCTTAAAACTCACCAATAGAATTTAAGTTTTTACATTTATCTTAACATTTTTTTTTGGTATTTTTGAAATAGATACCAACCATGTAAAATTTACCAATCTTGTAGTTGAGAAGGTTGTTTAGCTTGAAAAAATTTGTCTTTTAAAATATTAAATGATTTTTATATTTATCATATTTGCTTTACTATGTTTATAGTAATATCTCAAATATTTTTCTTGAGAGTTGCTTTAAACATCAACCCAACTGCTATAAATTTTAACCCAGATGGACTTCCCAATATTCTTGATTTTTATAAGCAATAGGTAAGAATGTCATAGTGTCATTGAGATTAATATAGCTGAGTAAACATTGCTAAAATATTTTATTTATTGTTAAAATATTTGTTTGTAAAAATATTTCGAAAAGCACTTCAAATATTCATACTTGTATACATCAAATATTTTTATTTTTTTACAACTATGTAGTTATGAAATAATAAAAATGCTATACCGGAAGTGCCCCATTTTCACCCTGATGTTTAAGAGTAAAAATGGGGCTGTTTCCCATGTCTCAAAATAATATTTTTATTATTTTTTATTTTCACCCTAGCCCAATATATATATATATATATATATATATATATATATATATATATATATATATATATATATATATATATATATATATATATATATTAATGAAGAAAAAACAACTTTTGCTATGGTACTTTAAGTTTTATGTCTATACGGTAATCATGATTGAAAAATGATTGCCGTATAGGCATAAAACTTTAGGCACGATAGAAAAAGTTGTTTTTTTTTTCTTTAATATATATATATATAATATATATATAATATATATATATATATATATATATATATATATATATATATATATATATATATATATATATATATATATATATATATATATATATATATATATATATATATATATATATATATATATATATATATATATATATATATATATACTATATAACCATTTTAATTATTGGCTGTTGAAATAAGAGTAATTCTTTTCTTAGAACCAAACTTAATTATAAAATGTGAAACTGAAAAAGACGCTTCATATTCTACAACGAATAGAAAGTCTCGTAACCCGAGAACAATATACAGCAGCTATCAACTTCGCGAACTCAACCGAAGATTCTTTAAAACACAATACCTTTCTCTGCCAGAGAAAGCAGAACTGGCAGGTAAATTTATTAAAAATATTATTTACAGGGTTCAAATATGCCGCAGACTAATGATTTTTTTCACAATGTACTTAAAGATACTTTGGCAATTGATATTGATTATAATTATTTCAAAGCATTATGCACTATTTAAAAAAAAGAAGAGAGTGATGATCTTTTCCATTTTTCTAATTTTATGTTCTGGATAAATTTATTTAAAACTTTCACAGACGAAGATTATTCTAACGTGAATTTTTTAAATATATAAAAGTTTAACAACCTTTTGAATTCATTTTTGCTTATTTATAAACGTTTAATAATGATTTATCTTTTTTAATGATTTAATAATTATATATCGTGATTTTTTTTGGTTTGTTATTGTTTTAGAAACCCTGGGTTTAACACCAACTCAAGTAAAAATTTGGTTTCAAAACAAAAGGTCGAAATTTAAAAAAGTGGTTAGAGCTAATACAAATTTTTTATCGACTGTTCCTGCCAATCGATTTCCGAACGGAAATTTTCAAATCACGTGGGACGAAAATACAAAGCAAACGTTAGCTCCGTCTACATATAATACTCTGCCTCTAATTCAGAATCAAATACTTTCGAATCAAAATGTATGGTATTCTCCACATCAGCTGACACCTACAGAGTATTAATAAAACAATACTCTCATAAAATGAATAAATAATAAAGTCGCAACTTAATTTTACTTCAATGAAATACAGAGTGATAAGAGAATAATACATTACAGATGTATACATTGAATAATAGTTTTTGGCATTGGTGTCTTCAAAATAAAATTAAAAAAAGATATAATATTTTTCAGATTTCGTAAATCTTTGTACTAAGTTTTGGGCAGCTAAACCATATAGTAAAAAGCAAGCAATACTTTTGTGGGATTCTATGGAAATTTTTGTTTTCCTAGAACTATATCAATCTCAACGTCAAATAAGGATTTATGTAATTTAAGTTATTTGGTAAATTAAAAACACAAAAGTTAACTATTAAGTTCTAAAAAATCAAATAGTGTTGTATAAAATATTTAAATAAAGTCTATTACAAGTTCGTTTTATATCATATATTTCCTTTTAAATTAACTTTATTACACACACACACACACATATATACATATATATATATATATATATATATATATATATATATATATATATATATATATATATATATATATATATATATATATATATATATATATATATATATATATATATGTATATGTATATATATATATATATATATATATATATATATATATATATATATTATATATATATATATATATATATATATATATATACAATGCTTGAAGTGAGGTGGGATGCGGTGTGATGCCATTCCGTTACCTATTCATAAAGTATAAACCATCCTGCCACTTTTTTATAAACCTTTATATATAACAATGATTAGGCGGGATGGCATTTTTAATTTAACGATTACCATCCCGTTACTTTTTTTTCCCACTTCGAGCACTGTATATATATATATATATATATATATATATATATATATATATATATATATATATATATATATATATATATATATATATATATATATATATATATATATATATATATATATATATATATGTATATATATATATATATATATATATATATATATATATATATATATATATATATATATATATATATATGTATATATATATATATATATACATATATATATATACATATATATATATATATATATATATATATATATTTATATATATATATATATATATATATATATATATATATATATATATATATATATATATGTATATATATATATATATAATTTGCAAAGTGCCTGAAAGTACCTGAAACATGCAAACAAGCAAAAAGTCCTGATAATAGGGTGTGGCAGGTGGGTAGGGTGGGTATTATCAGGCCAGGCCTGATAATAGGGTGTGGCACTAAAAAGTCTTTAATTTAATAATCTTTTATTAGTAATAGTTCAAACTTAGTTTCATTATGTTAAAAATAGTTTGTCAACTATCAGATTGGCTCTGGAGTTTTAAAATCTGTTTAATTAAGCACTTGATCTAGACCTGTGGTCTCACAAGGATCTGTGGTTACACACGCATCTTTGGTTTCTTGAATGATAAACTTTAATAAATTTTAATCGAATCGTATTTTTATTTTGAGTGAAAATAAACTTAAATGTATAAAATAAATTTTTTATGATCATAGAAGTTAAATAATTTAACATAAATTAATGTGTAAATTTTTATACAGTAAATTTTTGTTTGTTTGTTTGTTTGTTACTTAATAAGTTTCTTTGATTATAAATAAATTAGTTTACAATTTTTAGCTATTCTAAAAGAATAAAAAATTATCTGCATTAAAAACATAATATTCTTGAAGCGAAAGTATTTGTGCGGTATATTTGTAGTATTACTGGAATGACGTAAATAGTCCATCAAACCCTTTTATCAGATTTTTTTTTCAAAATAAGAAAAATTATCTTGTAAAAGTTGTTTGTTCAGATTTTCTAAATCCGTCTTAAAAACAACATTATTATTTTATACAAAACCATAATATTTTCGAATTTATTAATAATAAACACGGAAACAAATCTAGCTTATTCATTAAACTAAAATTTTTTTTTTGAAAAGTTTACAAAAAACATATTAAAAATTATTAAATGCCAAAACATTTATAGAAATTTTAGACACTATTATAATTTTATTAAAAACAAGTGGAGTTTGCTTGACAACCGAGCTTGCTTACAACTGTTTGAACCCATTTTCTTAGAAAAGTAAATTATCTTATGGTTTGTTAACTTGTTAAATGTTAAACCTAGTTTTACAAGCTTCCGTATGAGCTGTATTTTTCGCCCTTGTTTATTGAATAACTCTCCAATTTGTACTAAATTTTAATACATAGTAATCTGTATATTTTGTCAAAAAAACAAATCTTCTCAAAGGTAACTATAGTTACTACGATATTTATGCAACTGCGTGTAAGTATTTTTATTAATAATTTTAAAGTCATGCAAAAAACTTTTAAAACAATATGCAACTTATCAATAGTGTATGAATGTGATACACAATTGGAAATTATATTACACTATTGGTAAACACCTGAACACATCCTCACCTGGAAAGCACGTTGTGTGTTTGCCAGATATCTTATGCTCTCCAGCAACCACATGAAGTTTTGTCTAACGTCTTTTAAATAAACTTCACGTTTTAAAAGTCGTTATTTAAACCGTATGCTTACTAAGCCCGTCCAGAGAGATAATTATTTTCAAATAACAATCATAAAATATTTTCAATAACAAAGTTATCCGTTAAGACTCGAAAAAAAAAAGTTTGTTTATGGACCTTTGCTTCCATCGTATCTCATAAGTTGCTACTAACTTTCTAAAAAACTAACTTTTCATATAAAATTGAAACTAAAAATGCACACCTTCACTCAAGTGATATTAAAACTGGCTTAAAACTTTTACTTAGTTTTAAGACAACTTCGTGTTCTTAAAAAATTACATCAGTATTCTATCTACCCAGTTTTTAAATCAGAATTTTATACATAAATCAACCTTTAAATCAGAATTTTATACATAAAAAAAAATCAGACTTGTATTGCTTTCTTATATAAACGTCAGCCGACATTTAAAAAAAAAAAAAACGTTGTTTGCGTAAATAGATACGCTAAATAGTATAGCACTTATGTAAAGGATATATTCGTAATCTACTACAGGCTTTGTTATCATTGGCGCAGCCGCGCCATACAAATTATGTGACTTTTTTAATTAACGCAGTGTGACCATAAATACTCATTTGCTTTTTACTGAAAGATCATTTTATGAAACAAACTTTAAATGGTAACATCAATTAAAGCGTTTTTAAACAATTTTTAAAAAAAACTTGTGATGATGACATCAAAGCGGGACATTGATTTGTCACCCTATGACGCACTGATTGATAACTCATATAATACTAAAAAAATCTATTAGGCGCATATACGTTAAAAACTGTACAGGTCATTAGGTCATACATTTAGCAATCTTTTTTTATAATAATAGAAATAATAATAATAATAATAGTAATAATAACAATAATAATAATAATAATAACAATAATATATATATATATATATATATATATATATATATATATATATATATATATATATACAACAATATATATATATATATATATATATATATATATATATATATATATATATATATATATATATATATTGTTATATATATATATATATATATATATATATATATATATATATATATATATATATATATATATATACATATATATATATATATATATATATATATATATATATATATATATATATATATATATATATATATATATATATATATATATATATATATATATATATATATATATATATATATATAGGGGAGAGCGGGGTTGGTTGTCACACTTTTTACATTTTAGGCTGCTCAGCTTTTAATTTTCATCCAATCAATGCCAAACTTTGCACAAAGCTAGTTTAACTATTTCCAGTAACTATTATAATATTTTTATGACATTAAGTGAAATATTTATTGCTGTAAAATCATTTTTCAAAGACCACTTCTGTGTGACAACTAGCCCCGCTCACGGGGTAGGTTGTCACATGGTGCGGGGTTGATTGTCACATTTGGATTTTGACAAGTTTAGATAAGAATTTAATGTAAAACGAGTACAAATTAATTTCGTTTATGTTTTACTAAGAAAAAGAAAAATAAAATACTATAAACTGAAATATATATATTTTAAATATAACACAATTAACAAATTTAGTTTATCACTATAAATGTTTTTAGGTTTGGTTTTTTAAAAATTATTGGATAAAGAACACAATTCACAAATAAACTGTTGTAAGCCTGGTGTGCATTCTTCATGAGACCGTTTTTGGCAAACCTGACATTGAATCCACTGTTCTCTTGATCGGCTGTTGGAAAAAGATTCAAAACAATAGATGCACTAAATATAAACAATGCACAAACAAAACAACAGACAGCTTTACAAACTAAACAACAGCTAGTTGTTTAGTTTGTAAACAAAACAATAAACAGTTGAACTTCTGCAATCCTTTTTCTATAATTATACTAAACATTGGATCGGAATCTAAAGTTATGCACATTGAAATAAAAATAATTTAGATTACAGATATTTAGTTAAACAAATATAAGACTTTGACTTTAGATTTTTAAATAATATCTTAAACATTAAAATATTCCTCAATAATGCGGAAAATAAACAAAGCCAATAAAAAATCTGCAAGCGGCGTTTAATTTGCAGCGCATGGAGTCGAGGCAAGTGTGACAACCATCCCCATATATTTTGTGACAAGCAACCCCTTCTGAGTAAGTTGCTGGACACCTGTACATTTACCTAAAAGCGTGAGAATTTCATGATAATTTTTTACGGATTAAGTTACTCAAATGAATAAAGTACTTTATAAATCTACATTCAAAACACAATAAAATAATGTTCGTTTGGTAAAAGAAAATTTCTGAGTAGGCGAAATTTTACTTTTTCATATCAAAAACCTTTAAAAACGAATAACTTTTCTTCTGCACGCTAAAAAAAGATAAAAATTACTGTAAAAATGTTTTTTTTATATAACATTTCCATTGCATAATTTGAAATTTCTATATCTTATTTACATTTCCTGTAATAAACTTTGTGACAACCAACCCGCGTGACAACCAACCCCGCTCTCCCCTATATATATAATTGGAATGGTTTCAGCGATTTCAAAATTTCATCCAGTCTTACTGCGTTATATTAAAAGGTGGCAGGATGATTTAAATTTTATATAAAGGT